GAACTTAAAAGGCAATAAATGGTGCAGCTAAGTAAAACTGGCCAAGGAGAATAAAGGAAATCATTTTTGCTTAACATCAGAGAAAATATTTAAGCACACCTGAGTTTGAGCTTCTATGATGGATAATGTTTTGGTATGTACAAACACTGACATTCCAGTTAAAAGAGGCAAAGTTGTACTTGGAAACCACTGTAACAGTCTTGATACAGCATAAAATAGCAACAGGTAGGAAGGAATCAACACTTATACAGCTCCTGGCCAAGGTACTTGAAGGACTTTTGAGCAGAGGCTGGCTATTTTCAAACCAATGATTTAGGTGGCAATTTGGCAGTAAAGAACTGTATTCCTGGAATCATTTACAATTAAGATGCATTCACATATTACTTACATAATAAAAAAAAACCAATACACAAATGATGGGGAAAAGATACTAGAGATTAGTTAGGAAGCTATTGCAACAAAGACAAAGGATATGAAACAAAGGAGTAACTATTCTTATGATGGGTCTACATCAAATTTAAAAGTAACTGCATTTCTAAACTAGGAACTATAAATAAGTGACAAACTTGCAAATTATCTAAAAGGGAAACTGTTGAGCTCTTAACATGAAGCTTAATAACAGTAACATGGTGTGTTTCAAAATATGCTTTTATTCCACTTAGTTCATATAATTAGTCCAACATCTCAAAAAAGCCCTCTCATTCAACATTTCAGGAATTTCCTTCTAAATGCTAGAACAAAATTAATCAAGACATGTTATCCTGGAGATTTATGCTAACCTTTCCAGTCTTAAAGACAGAAATGCATTTCTTAAAGCTATACCCTACACTCCCAAAGGCTGCATTTCCTTCAATCTCAAGACAGGGTTTCAGATAAAGTCTGCACCTCTAATTACTGACTTCTCAAACAATGCTTTTTAATGAACAATGTCTTTTATTTGCTTCAGCTACATTCTTACAAATGTATGAGTAAAAAGTACATTGAAATAAACTATTGTGTATTAGGGCACAAAAGGTTTTGAGCCCATGTTAGCTTTGAAACATGGTTCTTAAAAATTGTGCAAACAGAAAAGGAACTGCGGGATTTTTCTATATACAGTATAAGGTCTTAAAAAAGACTCAGTGGGATGCCATTTTGAAACTGCACAGCAGGAAGTTCAGTTTGATCAAAGGGCCATTTAAGAAATGCTTTGGCTAATATTTTTTTATAATGACTAGAAAGTTAGCTTTGGGGTGTTTTGTTTTTTATAAAAGAATAAATATACTACATTCATAAAAGATAGCATTTCAAAATGGCAAGCTACAATTTTTGTTAATTCAAGAATCATAAACTTCTTACAAAAATTAATGACGAAATATTTGAGCATTTAATTAGAACTATTGCGGACAAATTCCCTTCAATGGCATTGAGTGACAAAGATTTGTTACCTTGTGGAATAAAGGGAAATAAAGACTCAAATTCATAAATTTAAGCTGGTTAAAAAGAAAGCTTTTTGTAACTAGACCAACATCTCACCAAAAACATACTCTGAAAGAGCAACAGGAATAATTGGTCTTTAAGCATGTTTTGAAGAGCTAACCAAGCATTTCCTCTTGTTCTCACAGGCTTTTTGTTTTGCTTTGCTTCTTAATGACTTAACCCAGAGTTGTGAGGCTGTCACAGTACTCAGCCTGACAAGATACACGGTTAAAACCCCAGTAGAAATTTAGAGACTAGAAGTAAAGAAACTAAGCCAGGAATCCATTGAAGAGCACTTCAGTCCTGTTCCACCTGCGGCCAAACCCTGCCCCCCTAAAACTTCCAAGTTACAATCTTAGGCAAGAAAGGGATATCCGTGCAGTTATTAATGGTCAAGTTTTGTGCCTTGGTTCTAAACTTATGTTTCCACTCAAGGACTTGGGACCCACACTCGTTGAAAAGTGACAAACTTTCTGACAAACTCCCCAAACGATTTTTACTCTCTCTTTCCAATTTAGTCAGAGCACAACTAGATGCCTGAAACTGTATGTACCGGCAGCCCATTTCCTCCTTACACAAGGTACCAATCTGCAGCGTCCTAAGACATTATTACTTAACCTGTTACCATCTACCTTATTAACCGCTAAAATACCAGGCCGCCAATCTTTGAAGGGAATGTCAACTTGGGCCACGCATCACTAACATATTAAAACCCAAACATCGCTAACGAAAACAAGTTTCTTCTTAATCCGTTTGACCTACCTCCTAATTTTTTACTTGTCCTCCCATTTTTTTTCACCCTTATTTCCATCAAATGGATTGTCATAAAGGCAATGTTCAGAATCCACCCCCCGCAAAAAAAAAAAAAACCCACTCACATTATTCACTTAGTTTTTGACTGTTAAAACAAATCCCGCCAAGACGATCCATTTAGAGACATAAGGAGGGAGGGAGATTAAGTACTGCTACTCAACTTTCGGGGAGAAAACTGACTTTTTTTAGCAGCGTCCTGAGAAACGTGACGACGAATGGGAGTGACTTCGAGGGCAAAAGTTTACTTCTCAGAGTTTGTCTTAGGCGCCATCTCCAACCCCCAGGATCAAGCATGTCCTTTTTCTAACCTGCACAGCTCACTGCTAGAGGGGGCATAACTATGAGGGTGAACGCTTCAGAGGGGGGGCGGTCCTAGGAGGGGGTGAAAAAAAAAGGACTATTTCCGTTTGCAATTTCCCAATGTTGTGTTTGGCCTGCGGGAACCCCCTCCTAGACCTGCCGTTGATCCCTCGCCGGCACCGAGGCCTCCGCTCCCTGGGGGGACCCT